CTGTTAGTACGTCACATTCCAAGTATAATTCTTTTGTGGAAAATCGGTAAGGTTTGAATTTTATTATTTTAAGTAGGGAACGTTGCGTTCTCTCTAGTGGTAGAATGATTGTTTTTCGAGAGCCACCCCATACTCTAATACAGTATGATAAAATAGATTGGCCCAGTGCAATATATATTGATTTTAGTAGTCTGAAGTCTGCAACATGTCTAATTTTTCTAAAAATAGGCATTAAACGTCTGACCCTATTAATTATATCATTGATATGAGGTTTCCATGTTAAACACTCATCCAGAATCACTCCTAGATATTTAAGCATTTTACATCTTTCTATATAATGACATGAACACATATTATCATCCATATCACAGGTGTGCGCTTTAAGTTGGAAACTAGATACTGAAGGCAGGTTGTTATGATTGATACCAAATAGTATACATTTTGTTTTCGAGACATTTAAAGTGAGAATGTTGTTATTTAACCATTTCATTACTTGTTGAAGTCCTAATTCAGCCATAGCCCTAGCCTCCGTCCAATTCCTTCCATGAAATATTAATGCAGTATCATCTGCAAACGTGAAAATACGTCCATTAGTTAAGTTTAGATTACATAAATCATTAATATAAATTAAAAACAGACTAGGCCCAAGAACGCTGCCTTGTGGGACCCCAAACAACACATCTGCATCAGTACTAGTGTATTTCCCAATAACCACACGTTGTTTTCTGTTAGAAAGATAGTCTGTAAACAATTTCAGTGGAATGCCACGTATACCCAATAATTCCAACTTATCCAAGAGCAAGGGTACAGAGACTGTATCAAATGCCTTGGCAAGGTCTAGAAATATACCGAGACTTTTGTTGTTATTGTCTATTAGTTTCCCAGTGTATTCGGATAATGTAGTGACCGCATCTTCCGTAGATTTTCCAGCCATAAATCCAAATTGATTATTGGATATAATTTTGTTGTCATTCAGAAATGATACGAGTCTTTTATTAATGATCTTTTCAAGTAATTTTGAGAGCACTGGTAGTAAAGAAATTGGCCTATAGTTGCCGATGCAGTCTTTTTCTCCCGCCTTATATATTGGATGAATCAGTGCTATTTTGAATATTTGGGGGAAAATTCCTTCACTTATACATAAGTTAAATATATGTGTAATAACTGGTACTAGTTTCTCTCGTGACATTTTCAACATTTTGGTATTTATTCCATCCCAGCCTGCTGATGAATCGGACTTCAAACTAAGCAGAAATGAATTTACTTCATTTTCGCTAGTATAATGCATTACCATTGATCCAGCATTAGGGATGTAGTGGGTCATATTATGTTTATTCTTATTTTTGTTTGTAATTTTATCAGCCAAATCTTTACCAACATTTGCAAAGAATTCATTAACACGGTTAATTGACATTATAGGTGATTCTGATATTTCTAATAATTCTGTAGGCAAAACTTTTTGGTTGTTTAAATTCGTAATTTTTTTGATCGTAGTCCACGTCTTTTTAATATCTTTTGAATTCGTTTCAAGTTCACGTCTTTCATATTCTTTTTTTAGTCTCTTTAGTAAATCATTACAGAAATTTTTGTATGTAATATATCTATTTTTTATAGTTATATTTGAAGGTTCTAGTCTACATTCTGTATGTAACTTATCACGTTTTCTTAAACTATTGATTAATCCGGGGGTTATCCAGGGTTTAATATTTCGTTTACGTCTCGGAATTATTATGGTTTTTGTATTAGTATTTCTACAAGTTGTTAGTATGTTTACCAATTCCTCAGTGCACCATTCTGGGTCATTCGAAGTCATTATAGCATTAAAATCAGTATTAAAGATATCGTTGACTATGGCCTCGAAATTTATTTTGTTTTTTATGAATTTGTTCTCTGTTTTTGATTTTGTCTCCTGATTAAATGCTAGTATAACACCACAATGATCTGTCAGTGGCGCATCTAAAACTACCGTAACTACTGATGTACAAGTTTTGATTATAGTATGATCTATACAGTTATCACCCCGGGTAGGAAAAGTATGACTTGGTAACATACCATGCGTTGCTAATAGATCAAGATATGTTGTCGAATTAGAGTCTGGATTATCCTGTCGAATATTTATGTTTATGTCACCAATAAGTAGGATATTTTTAAATTGTTTATTTATGTTTAATAAGTTGTCGAGGGAATCAAGAAAATCTGAAATGTTATATGTTGATGGAGATCTATAAATTGATATAATAATTGTATCTGTGTTAACCTTGATTATCATGCACGTAGCGTCTTTTATTGGTATTTCCTCTACCGAACAGCGTATTCCTAATTTAGTATATATAACAATCCCATCATTTTGGTTGTTATTGATTGAGGTAAAATGCGTTGCATAATTCGGAAGAGAGGGAAAAGTAGCAACTTTGGAATTCCAACATTCGGTAAGGACGTATATGTCACATTCACTATTAAGTCGTTCAAGAAGTACTTCAAATGCATCAAAGTTGTGTGAAATACTTCTAATATTTTGTGTCATTATTTTTAAATGTGTACTAGAACTATAAGTTGAGTAGAGTTCTGGACTACATAAATAAGACTCACCAGTGGAGATTTGGTCAATATTAGTTAATAATTCATTAATTGGAGAAGCGAATTTTAAAATTGTTAAGAAGTGGTACTGTGTGATTTACCTTATATCTTAGATAGGTCCATTGTTTGAGCCCTATCTTTGGATTGTCGTTACAACAGTATAAATATGCTTTGCAATACTCTAGTTTACAAAATTTAACATAACTCCCGCGGCAATAAAAAGAATTTCTAGGATTTACCATCAAATAAATTAGACTAAATTTAAGATCTACAATAATTAATCTATGTATATAAAAAAATGACTAGAAAAAATACATTATACTTAAGGATAGTCATTTCATTGAAGCCTTTATATCCTGTAGGTCAGTCTCATTCTTCACTTCAATTGAAGGGCTACCAACTTCTTTTCGTAGAAATACCCGGCCTCTGCGCGTCCAACAAAATTTATACTCAGATGTCCTTGCTATACCCCTAGCAAGGAAAAGGAGTCTTTTAGTTTTATTTGTAAGACTTTCTGAAATATATATCGGAACTTTAGGTCCATCATGGATGTCTATTGCAGCCGAGTTGAATTTCTCATTCGGGGATCTTACATTGTATTCTCTTACAGCATCGATAATTTTGTCTTTAGTAAAAACGGAGGAGAATTCAGTCACAATAGTCTGGCTTCCGTTCTTATCCTTGTATTTATATACGTCTCTTATTTCAGAAGGTTTTGTAGGTACTGTCAGGGCTTTGCAACAGCTTTCCACATATGAACACAAATCCTGTTTGGTTTTTAGTTTAGTTGAGTGAACGTTTCTGATTTCAATTTGAGATGATTTTTGCATTCTTTGTAAGTCTTCAACTTTAGTTTCAAGTGATTGAATGTATTCCGTTTGCTCTTTGCGTTCTCGTTCAAGGGATAACATTCTGTGGTGCATATCATCATACTGTTGTGTCATATATTCAATTGACTTGACTAGTTCATCTTGGGATGTTTTCATTTTACAAACATCAGCTTTTACTTCAGTCATTGTTGAACATAGTTTCTCCATCGTGTCCTCTTGACCTGATTTCCACTTATTCAACATAGCCATCATATCGCTTTTCAGCAGACCTATTTCTTCAGATGTTCCAGGAGAGTCTCTTCTTCTTTTTTGTCGCTTAATAGTCAATTCAGTGTTTTTACCTTCAGAAGTCAATGCGTCAGATTCTGATGAACAGCCTTGCATAGGTGTTCCAAGCGGAGGAGTTCTTTGTACTCTAGGCATATTTTCTGATTAAAATATGTTAGGACAAAAAAAAAAAAATTCTAAATTCACAGTTTCTGTAGTAGCCCCCGTTACGCATTCAATACTCGGCGCAGAAGCAGTGGCTCACTATTTGTTTCACTTGTGTTGTCTCTGTCTTATATCTTCGATAGATGACTGCGGTCCTAGTACTTGACCACTGATTTTATTATGTTTATTTAAAATAATTATTAAGCGACACAACTAACTACACGTCTGGTCTAGTTGAGCGTTCGATAGGGAGGGGGATTAATAAAAAACATTACATACATGTACCTATTTGACACACACTATGTATACTTTTTTGTTTATTGTTAAAGTCTGTGATCAAATTGTTATCATATAAACCATCCCATTGAATTACTCTATCTATTAAAAAAAAAACAAAAAAGATTTAAGCATACATACGGACGGACAGACCGCGACAGCGACTTTGTTTTATACTATGTAATGATAATGAAGTCTCTGATCAAATTGTTATTAGGATATTATTGTTCTTCTTTAATATTTGTCTTACTGAATATTAAATTAATTTGTTTTAATTATTAGTTTATTAATTATGGTCGAGATTACACAATGAATAGTGTTTTGTTTTTGAATAAATAAAATATACAACATGTATAGAATATATGTATTTATTTTTGTGTTTAGCCTAATGATTAAATTTTACTTATTACTAACATACAATGAAATTGTAGTAAATTAGATTTACATACAAATTGTTTTTATCTCTGTTTCTATATAAATTGTATTTGTGAACTCTACAGTCCCTTGTGAATATTCTTATAATTATCTTTATTACATAATAATATTTTATAATTATATTATACGAATTCTACAGTCCCTTATAAATATTTTTATAAATATATTTCTTGTTACTTTGTTCGGCAGTAGGCCAATTTATAATATAAATAATTCTTAAAAGTAACTTATGTAAAAAAACAAAATCATTATAGATTTAGTATTTGTTGACAATTAACCAAATAATTATACGTGAATAAAAGTTCACAGTTCACGTAAATAAAAAATGACTAAGAATAATTAAAAAATTACAGATCCGTTTCTACGAGTACGGGAGAGGGAAACTTTTACTCTTTTTTCAGAGAAAATAAAATTCCTTAAAATGGTTACAATCTACACTAAAATCACACGAAAAATGTATACGTTTGACTGCATACACTAGGGCTAGTTTATATAGCGTAATATACCATTTTTTTATAACAACAAATAAAGTAATTGAGTAAACAATACACGCTCATAGTAACAATAGATCTCTAAGTTGTTTTTGAAAATTGATACAGCTAAACTTCAGGGATGTGAATAAAGAAATCTAGCAGCGTGGACTGCGTAACCAGTGTAGCCTGCAGAGCAATGAATATTAATAACAATGGAATGCTAGCATCCTTTGTTAGATACTTCTGAATATACAACCTTTTCTTTTTTGCTATTTTGACTATTCATTTGTATTTCTTCGTAGTGAACTTCTTCTTTCTATACAAAGAAACAAAATTTTATAAAGATAAGCCGGGACATATCCTACTAATATAATAAACTTGAAAGTTTGTATGTTTGATTGTTTCTTACTTAATACGTAAAAATCGCTAAACGAATTTATATGGAATTGGCATACAGATCTACTTTAATCTTTACCATAATGCGATGTCCTTAGTACTGTTCATGTTCGACGGTTACCACTTACCATCAGTCAGCTTGTTTGCTAATTGTAAGTACATAAATGAAAATAAATACTATTAGAATTCGAACGTAACATAATATTACGGTAAGCTCGTTAAAACATTTAAATCATAATATTAGTGCTGTTTGTGGTCAATAAATCGAAAATTAAATCGATTGGTGGTGAAAAACAATAAGGCCAACATTGTTTTCATCGACAAATCTATTAATTTACCAATCTTTATCCGTGATTTCGTCGGAGCCACTCCGACGAAATCACGGCACATATAATTATAATTTTCCTTTCAATTTATAGATATTATGCAATTTTAAATTGTTCTTATCTGCAACTGTTATGATACGTCGAAAAAAGGGACAAAGAATATTAAAATACCTATGTATCATATTTAGATATATCATAACTGAATCGATGAATCCTTTAACCCCCTTATATTTATCTCCTGCCCATTCCAATGGGGATCATACCGACAGTGATCTCGGACTAAACATAACCTCCTATTTAGGTCCGATAATGCTTTCAAGGCCAGCTACAACCAACAGGATTGGAATAATTCGAAAAAAAAAACAACAATTTAAATGAATTTCAGTGAATTAAGTATTCGACTATTTCATGAAATAATCAGTTCTACAGCTTGGTCACATAATAAACACTTAATGTAGCTTACGCGTTTAGGTTCCAAAATGCCAATAATTTCTGAATAGGGCGAGTCATCTTTTTTAAGTTGGGTATTCGTTGATGCATTCATTTCTTGTAAATCAGCATACAGTACGTTAGGAGTCGCCTAGAAAAAAATGTTTACATATAAACACGTAGTTAAACATTATATTTAAACAGTATTTACATGTAATGTTGCACAATAAAAATCTGCAGATTTTCCATACTGAAGAGTAAACGCCACTACACCCTGTTGTAGCCCACTCATATATAAACGTAATATTTCCTTTGGAAAGTTTGTTCTATATCCTGAGGAGATAAAAACCATCGCTCCTATTCCTTCAATTCTTGTCCCTAACGGATCTAGGTAGCGAACTCTGAAAAAGGGCGAGCACAATAAATCTATGTAAAAACATATCATCAACTGCGTTGTATATGATAATAACAATATAATGTAAATGCATTATATTGTTATTATCATATACAACGCTTGTTGTCAGTTGATGATTTGTCAGTTGTTGTCTGTTGTCATTTAGGATTCTAATGTTGTCCACTGTAGTGGAAATTTTTATTTCTCTTGAAGTACCACCAGTAACTCCACATCCAAGGATATAATGTATATAGTATACACTCGTATCTATTAGATATTTAACTAAATAATGTACGTATAATTATGATATAGGTAGGCTCGTTTTGATGCGAAGGTCCTTGAGACATCAGTACGTAAATAATTGAATATATACGATACGCAATTTGTTTTGAGCCAGGATTGTCGCCCGAGACTGCCATTATGGCTCTCCAGGATACGGTCAAGTGCTATGTTGATCGAAGTATCTGTTTCTGCAACTGCATTAGAACTTTCCATTGTATTTGACTAGTTATATAATAGATAATAAATAAATAAATTATTAATAAATTTTGGTAAAAAAAATTAAAGTTTAGGTATACACAAAGGGCACTTCGCGTACAATATAGGTAATAATGAGTTTAGGATATTGTTGACGATTCCCTGGTACTGTTACACATCAAGGATGTTTGCAAAATGCTTTCAAGCCATAATGAGCAAAATAATTGATAACTGATGCGTAGATTTCGGTGGAGCGCAAATAGCCTCCTAACAAATGGAGCAAGTATATTGGATTGTCCACTGGTTACAATTGGATTGCAGTGAGGTGAGGAATATATATACATTTTTAACATATGTATGATGCTCAATTTTAATATCCATTCACTAACATAGATTATAAGTTTACTAACATAATATGGAAGAATATCCGGCTGAAATATACATAAATAAATAAACAACATACGTAAAGGTTTTCTTGGTTTGAATCATTCCTCCCTGATTGCGATTTAGACTTCCAATACAAAAACAATATTATTAATAATAGTAATAATACAATTGCTGTAGATATCACGGGTATTACAATGTTGCTTTCTTCATTATCTTCAATATTATTTTTACCGTCTGAAATTAGATTGTTTATTTGTAATTTATGATTAATTGTGTTTGAAATTAAATTATTCGTGTGCATTGATTTAAAGAGTTAAAATTTCAATAAAATCGTAAAATCTTTTTAGTGACATCGTAAAAATATTTTAAGTTTGACGTACAATTGGATTGTGCAATTAATAAGAAATTTACACAGATTATGTTAATTAAATATGGATGAATTGAAATCCACTATCTGTCTGCTAGGTAAATAGCGTTTTAAGAATGCGGAACTAATATACCGTGTTAGTTTAGGGGACTGTACTGTACCGTGAACATTACAGATTGTATATTGTGTATATGCCACACACTTCTCTTGTTAGTCTAGTATCTGTTTTGTGTAGAAGTTTTTTCTCTACAACTTTTAGTAGAAACATTTTGTCAGATTTATTATTATTTTCATCACTATCCTTAACTTATATTAAAATTTCTTTCCGATATAGATTGATACCTGTTTGAGAGTCTCTTTCCCATGCATTACATAGATCGGTTGTCCACTGTGGGTGGCATCTAGACAACAACAAATTTTGGAAATATTAAAATAATATTCTAATAATTGTTAAATAAAGCGGAGTAACTAATATTAGAGAAAGAAATCATCAATTTTGTTTACCCCACAGTCTAAACAATATAAACAAAATAATTGTTTATACTGAGTTTGCCTTGTCCTTAACTATTAATTAGACCATAAACTATAAAAAAAATGTAACAGTTTTATAACAGTAGAGTATATTGTGATTTTGTCACTTTCAAGTAAATGACAAAATTAGAGACGAAATGGGCGCCTCTTTGCAACATCTAAGGGTGTGTTCCTAATCTATACATATAAATAAAATTGGAGTGTCTGTTTGTAATATTGAAATAACCGTTTTTTACTACATGCATATGAATATAATTACGGTACATGTATACCAAAAAACCATTTTTTACAATTTATTTATTTATGTCATACTAAGTGAGTTTACAGTCTCCCAATATGGTCAACTTAGGAAGATAATATACAAATACATACTATTATAAACACTAATTACATACATATACACTAATTACACTTAAACCAAAGACAGAAAAAACAATAATAATAATAATACCTAATCTTGCTTTAACATACTGTAAAAATGAACTGCCATCCTCGAAACTCCAGCAAATTCACACAAAGTCAAATTTGGTTCATATAGATCTTGGAATATAATTTCATAATATCTCAAACTGTTGATTTAGATATTAATGTCCAAAAATCGTCATTTTTAAAGAGAGGCCAGCTCAAAATTATAATAGTTCCAGGAACATAAATTAATTTTATGAATATATTTATTATATTGAAAAAACGTAACTGGTAACCCGCGCTCTTATGGAACACTTTAATTGATTTTTTAACTTAACGAATTTGGTTACATTTTATTACATCATCTACTTTGACTACAAAGAAAATCCCATCAAAATCAATCCACCGATTTAGAGATTAGTCAGTGTCATATCCCACAAATCAAAACAGACAACTGAAAAAATGTAACAATATATTATTGGTGTATGTCGAACGTATTTATTATGTTATTAACTAATAATAATACATATCGTTATTTTATTTTGCAGTTTCTCACCAAGTATATATTTTCACACAATACAACCCATACAATAATATAATTTAAAACTAATGATGAGACGAAAACGGCTCTCTGCTATTCTGTTATCCTTTATCTAATATTACTGCAATCTAAGACATCTAAATAGTATTTTAATACAAGTATGAGTTGTCCGATAAGCATATTAAGTTGGTTCTGCCTGCTAACAAAGTATACAAATCCAGTTATAAAAGAATGAATTTTAGATTGCATAACAAACTTAAATATATATAGATCTAAACATTATTCAGGAAGTTATCAACATATATATAATATTAAAAAGAATTATTCCAGGTTTCTCATATAGACACACATTTAGCAGTGTATTACCTAACTGATAATTATGCCTATAGGTGTTCACATTCCAACTAAATGTTACAAGTGAACATTTGGTGTCACTGAACATCAAGGGATTTTTTTCACACCACTCAAAGATATTGTTTATATCATTCTGAAGGAGCTCACAATCAGAGAAATTGGTAATTTTTAAAAATAACTTTAAGTCGTCTGCAAACAACAGACAGGACGCCGTAGTGACTACCTCCGGCAAATCACTGATAAAACTGAAAAACCCTCCTCCACATTACTCTCCTGAGCTTACCCCGGAATACGATTTACGTCTTCGATTGCGAAAAGTTGGAGAAAAATTTATGTCTGTCTGTCTGTCGGTCTGTTTGTTCCGGTCTCTGAAATGGCTGGACCGATTTTGATGGGACTTTTTTGGCAGGTAGCCGGAACAAAAATGTTGTTTTGGTGTATGTACTGTATTCATATGCATGTAGTAAAAAACGGTTATTTCAATATTACAAACAGACACTCCAATTTTATTTATATGTATAGATGAAATGTATAGGTTGTACGTTGTTATTCCTTATTGTATCTATACGTTTCTAATAAATTTGTCTGAACATTTGTGTCTCCAATCAGAAAATGGAAGTAATCGATTTAAACTTCCACGTGTATTACTATGATATCATCATTAACATTTTAATTAGATACTTACTATCTTCTTTAAAGATTAGTTACGGCCGTAACATTTCTTATGCACACTGTACCATTATTTGTTGCGGTGAAGAACATTTAAATTGAATACATTAATTTTGAGTTGTAATGTGTCTTGTTTAAATGTAAGAATTGTACATCAGTTTTGCTGGCATCTTTGATACTTGTAATATCTCATTTTTATCTGTAAATAATAATATGTTGCAACTTAATATTTATTTTATCGAATTAGGTGTTATTTTGCTATTACACTACTTTATACATTGTAACTAATATTGTAATATGGGTGTAGATTCAATAACGGTCGGAATTTAATAATTATTAGATTGCGACGGTCCTTAGGCCTTTAGGTTTCAAGGAGTCAGGTTTCCGCATTGAATATGTGTGGTCTCATACATGCTAATTGTAGCGGAAATGAAACAAAATAATATAAATCCATTTAGTATTGGTATAATTAATATATAGATATATTAATAGAATTTTATATGTAAATATTCTTATTTTGGTATTACCACAATAGGTTAATTAACACATATTTTTGTTCATTTAAACTTTGGAATCGTAACCCTAAATAATATTTTTAGAACCACAGTCAAAAATAATGACATAATGGCCCCAATTTTTCTAAAAGTTAAATTGAAAAAATAATAAAAATTAACCACAATAAACGAAAAAGTCAAGTTAGAACAAATATTATAAAATGCCCATAATTTTCAAACTGTATAGATATGATTTTTCTCATGATTGTTACAATCAATCAATCAGTCGAAGTTCAACTTTAGTGGCGCTTGATATATGACTTACCATTAATATGCAGCCAGTGAGTACTACTATTACAGCTCACATTGTAATTGTAATAATATATATATATTCCTGTACTGAAATGAATATCATATATGTACATAATTAATAATTATTGCCATGAAAACCAGTCCTTCCATCCGTGCAGTATAATATATTTCCTGTAGCTCCTCCACACGCACGGTTCGTTACTAATTGGTATTAGGGGCTCTATTCTGATAAACTCCTTTTGAAATTGCCACGATTTAATAAGTGTGATAAGATTTAATCCTCATTCTCTGGAAAGGGTGTAACTCAGATAACAAAACTGTTGTATATATCACGACATCTCTACATCTGTGGTGGTTCTATATATCAATGCAAACTACACCATACAACTCAATCAGTAATAGACTAGACACCTCGAAGGTACAGTACTATGTTACAGAGGTCGTGTACGATATATATGTATTATAAGTAGACAGGTATAAACATTCCGAAAAAAAAATTAAGGAATGATAGTAACAACCCCATGCCTTATTTAGAATAATTACCTAAGCCTAAGCATAATAAGAATGAAGTTTAGAGATTACGAATACTGTGAATTTGATTTTTTATACATACATACATACGTATATATGTACATATTACACACCTAGTATGATATTGGATTAACCCATTTTTTAAATTGACATTACATTGATGTTAAAGTTTAATATAATTTTTTAGTCAATCCAGTATTTTGCTAGGTGTGTGATATGTAGTTGTATGAGCGACGACAGTTGTATGAGATGAACGCTCAACATACAAACACTTAGGTATATATTCTTATTAATAAAATTCCGCCTTTATATCAATTTAGATACGAATGCACCTGGCTTGACATATATCTTTTTTATTTCTTTAAGAACGGAAGCATACTTTCCGATTCATGTTCTCTGTAGCAATTCATGATTGTATTATTATCGAATTCGTACACTTTCCCCGTGTAATTAAAGGCGTAACCCGAACTTGATTTGGATCCCAAGAGTTCTAGAAGAGATGTTAACATAATGTATGTTATTTAAATAAATAAATTATTATTTATCATTGACAAATGTTTTAGACAATAGAGTGGTGACAACCCGACATAAACAGAAAGCTAGTGAGATCGAATGTGGAGTTGATATACATTTATTCCATATATATATCTTTTTATTTCTGTTTGACTCTGTTAGTCCGGTGATGAAAACAGTGATTAATAACCATTTTTTTGTATGAAACGGATAGGAGTAATATGCTGTCGGCCAACATGAGAATTAGTATTAGCACTACTAATATCATGTCACCATAATAACGCCCATGGCAAAATCATGCGTTGCTATTTCGGAAGACAGATGAGGAATCATAAATTCATACCCATGTAATGTCCCTGCTTGCAGGCTACAATAGGTGAGACCAGCATGCGCATGCAGACGACTTTGTATAGTCTACCTAAGCAATTAAAACAAGAGACGGCGGTAGGTTCGATCCCTGCTACATTGGACTTGATTATACCGATATTTTAGATGGTATGGTATTCGTGCCCTCTGCTGTTTGTTGATTCAGTGAAATTATGTCATGTTTTGGATTCATCATGATATCGACAATTGACAATGACTCTCTCAACTCCATATGGGTTAGTAGTCATGAAGGTCTCATAAAGTTGTAAGGGCGTTTCGCAGACGGTCGTCCATCTTGTCTGTTAATAAGCACAGTGTAAAGCAGTCGTGTTGTTACTTATTATATTCCCTATTAGTACATAAAGACTTATCAGTATAACATAATAATAGGTACCTATAAGTTATTGCAACTTAATAAGGATTTATATGATATATGGCTGATATATAAGGAGGAAATTAGTTTTATTATTAACAATAAATATTATTAGGTTGATTTACATGCGGCTCCCCTAAACACCATTATGTTGAATTTCTAGTTAAATCATTACAAAGACGTTGGCGACCTGACTTTATCCTCATTCTTTAATCCTTTATTGAGGCCGTGTCATTGTACACACCATAAACGCAAGGTTTATTAATTCCATTATTGTTAATAAAAAACATACAGATTATGCTGATTGCCAATTACACTTAACATTTTATTAAAAATGATTAGAAGATGCAGATGCAAACCTAATTCTTTGTCCTTGTTCATTATCTTGGTCTGATTCCAATATATTTTACTATCAGAATGATTACCCTGAAAACAACTATAATTAATGTCATCTCCTCGATATTGTGATTCCTTTCGTTGTTTCTAAAACAAAAAGAAAATTATAAAGTATATATGATGTTATGATTAGTAAATAATTATGAATTTCAGATTAAAAATTCAGAAAAGTGTCTGTCTGTTTCTTCCTTTTAGAACTAAATGTATTGTTTACGTTTACGTTTCTTAATGTCTTCTTAATTCTATAATATTTATTAGCTGTAGATATTGCTTTCACAATTGTAAAAATAAATTCCTCAATGGTAAGTTATATATTTATGGTATAATTCTAAGTTCAAAAGAGAGAGACAGTACAGAATGGTGTAATATAAGGAATAAATGAATCGTTTATGAATATATTTATTATATTAGTAACTAACTGTACCCGCGCCTTAGTCCGCGTGAATTTAACTTTATTTTTCTAAATAAAAAGGTCATAGGTTATCCTTATTACATCAGCTACGTGCCAAAGAAAACCGTCAAAATCGGTCCAGCGATTTCAGAGATTAGTCAGAACAAAACAAATCAAAACAGACACTGACAAAAAATGTAACAAATGTTATTTTGGTGTATGTACTCATATAATAATAATAATTTTTATTTGTCTCAAACAAAACCTTTTCACACAATTTACAATAATATTTTTTAAAAATAATGAATGAGACAAAACGGCTCTCTGCTATTCTGTTATAGCCTTTATCAGTAAAATACAATATGAGATCAACGACGACGATAGCATATTAAGTTAAGTTCTAAACTACAACTAACAAAGTAAACATAAAAATTGACAATAACAAGATTACAAACTATAAGATTGGACAATAACAAACTTAAATATATATAATCTAAACATAAAATTATATGATCTAAACATTATTCAGGATTAGTTACAACATTAAATAAAAACTAAGAATTATTCAGGATTATTTTATCATATATACACACACACATATCGACACAACTTAGTAGATTACAATACTACGAAACGAGGGATTGTTCTTGCAGCAACCGTTTGCTACATTTGCGCCTAAATATTGGTAAGGATAAAATCAGTGATGAACAAATTTTTGCTGCGGCATACTTAAAACAACCCCTAGTTCTTGTGAGCTTGATGAAAGGTTTAGAAAACTGATAACAGCTGTCTCTGAGGGAGTCTATTTTAGATTTATAAACACTTATATTTATATTCATATGCATGTAGTAAAAAACGGTTATTTCACTATTACAAACAGACACTCCAATTTTATTTATATGTATCGAAATTAAAGGGTACGATTGCCATTCCTTAGCACATCTAAATGTTATACTCTTAGTCCTCAGGAATGGCAATCAAACCAAATTAGTTATGATGACGACTTAGGCTTTGATGCCCGTTATCGAAGAGAAACCCGTAACTTGTGACACGAATGTAGGTTTAGAATACATTAACTCTCACCTTCACTACTTGTAGTTTCTCTGCAGGCCTAACTGAATCCGGGATAAACCCGTCTCTAATAAAATTCACTTTAGTAACCAAAATACAACCGGCACATTCTGTGCTCGTTGACCGAATGCCGTGGTTTACAAAAACTCCCACCTCTACAGAGATGCGTAGGGGTTATACGTAACTAATTTAACGATGCCGTGTAATAATGAAACTATCTTCATAAAATATTTTTTAAATTATAGATTTTTCTACAATATCGATGTGAACCTTAACACATATATGGGGTATCACAGAGAACAAATACTACTTTCCATCATGTGGGCCGTTAGCTTGTGATTACAGTTACTTAAAAAAAATATAAGCTGACCCGGACCCAGTCAATTTAGGAGATATTATATAAAAAATTGTTCCGTATAGAATGTAAATTAATAACTTCTTAATATTTTTTGTTATTATATTTTCCAATCACATGACGACTATAATATATATATTACATGTGTAGATAGTAATTTATAATTAGGTGTCTTTGCACTTACCATTATAAACTTCACATAATACACCAGAAGTAAGGAAATTAAATAGGAAAAATAAACTTTTACACCACATAATGATTATAATCTTATTAAAACGAGAAATGTGAACTACATTACATATGGTATATATATACATTGTCATATGGTATATATAGGACGCAAAATGTAACAATTTATAAATAGTAGCACACAATAACAATTTCGTTTTCCTGTTCTCCATCTAGATTTTACATAATACTAGCGATACAATTTCACTCGAGTGTAAAGTGCATGTGACGGAGCTTGTAAACTATGCATATATTAGTGTATATTATATTATAGATACCAAACTTTTGTATCAAATTCTATAAATAATATATTCTTTAAACCCGTATTATAATCGTAGTGTAGAAGTGTGAAAAAGAGAAACAGACAGACGAAAACAACTATTTTGTTTTAAATTATTATGCACATATAATAATTTATATATTAATAATAATCTAAAATTTTTCCTTGAATATAATTTGACATGACATATACTTGAATGATCTATTGTGGAAACTCATTTAGGAAAAGTAGAACTTTTTTTGATAAAACAGACAGCTTATTTTTATATTTTTTCAATCAATATTTAATAGCAAAATAAGGCTTCGTCGTCAAAAAAGTTATAGTACGACATACAATCCGCTCGTTTCATATAAAGTATTACATGAATTTTAAGCATAGTAATATCAGTTAAAAAATCTCGGCATTATGACGTAAGTCAATCATGTTATTTACATATGTTCCTATAATGACTAGCATACATAATAATATGATAAATTCTATTACTAACTTAAAATCCAAAAATGCTACAACTCACGATTTATTGTCATTGGATACCACTACCATTAATTGTGTAAAATCAGTGAATACTTATTTTGCTAGCATAGGGAAAAATCTAGCGGAAAATATAAATGTAACACGGATGGATATTATATGGAAAGGGGAAATATATCCTACTAATTACTGTTCACCTGTATTGTATCATGTTTTGTTGGAAATGGATATGAATGAAATCTTAGCTCTCGTAAATGGATTTAAAGACCCTGATGCGGTAGGTTAGAACAACATTTCAGCTAGCATTGTTAAACAAAATAAGAATACCTTACCCTAACCATGAGCCAATTTCCAAAAGTTTTCAAATAATCTATTTTAAAAATACTCGAACGCATTATCAATAATGGACTTGTACATTATCTAGAAAAATACTCTCTATTATCGCAAAATCTATATGGTTTCCGCATAAGTAAATCATATGCTTATCTATGAGCTAACCAACTTAGTTGCTATAAAACTGGATGAAGGTCAAAAATATTTGGCTATTTTCGTAGATCTCACCAAGGCATTTGACACCGTTTTTGTGTCGCTACTGCTTTGTAAACTCGAATTATTACATATACATGGTATCCAAATATGGGACAACAGAAAATATATGATTTAAATGTGGTTGAAACACGACTAATGATTATACTATCTTGTCAATTCTTACTCAAAAAGTGTCATACATCCTCTACACAGAAACAAAATTACATTACCCCACATTATTATAGAAAAATCCTTTACATTCACACACAAAGCAATATTATAATACTAGATGAAACCCCGGCTTCGCTCGGGTGAAATGTGGGTAGATATTTCTGTAGTCATCCGTGCTCAAGGAATATTAAAGGTAAGCAAGGCATAGATTCGTATTATTCGTATTCATAAGTCTCGTTCATTGTGTTTAATAAATATAGTAAATAAAAAGTGCAAAAGTTTTTATACAAATAATTATTATTTTAAATCAACATTCATAATAAATTAACAAAACATATAACTTTTAAGGTTTATTCTCTGTAAACC